GCTACCTACAAAGAGTGTACCCTGTTTGAAAACCAAAAGAGAAGAAGTCTAGCTAAGCTAGTGAAATTATTTGGACATCGGACCGCGACCATGGTTCATCTATTAAACAATTCTGCATTAAATCCACGCTGCTCAACCCTAATACTTGAATCGGTACCTCTATTGGTGGCTCACTGTTATTGCTAATCCATTTGTACGTTCCCATGTGTGGACACTAGAGAAGAGCTTATGTCACGCACTTCCAACTGATTCTGGTCTAGCCAAGGTCTTCCGTCGGTTTTCTGACGTCTAGTGCTACGCTCACCTTCCTTCATAACATTGGGAGAACGCGCCCACTTCGACTGGCCTAATTAACCCACATCCAGTTACACAGGATGGCGCGATAGAGACTGAAGTTTACCATGGTGTAAGACTCGATTTCGTCGGTACGTGCTGTAGTCGTTAAACTTACTGCACTAACAGGTGTGGGCTTGACACAAACGGGGACAAACGAAATTTGAAATTTAGCGAGAGAATGCTATGGTTGAAATGGAAGACGTCTGGTTAATTAGCTAATTGGCTAAGGGAATATTGGAAAATTTGGATGCAGCATATCCCGACGCACACAGAAGTGTGCGAATCAAAGAAGGATTAGCTGAATTCTCAGGCGGTGTGGATCCTGACGAGGGCATTCTTACTGTTATTAGTTTTCCCATCAAGTATATAGGAACTTTTCTACTCTCGATCGTTTCACGAAATTCCCCCTTACGAAATCTCTTTATGATTTTGGTCACGGTATCTTAGAACAAAATAACTGCATCTTGGAATAGGTTGTGGACTGATGAACTTTTTTTTGAAGGTAATCGTTATTCCCTATTCACGCCGAAAGTTCTGGTAGAGTTTCTTACCTTTCTTGGAAGTTTGGTGAAGATTTTATTACAAATCAACATGCGGTTTTAACACCGTATGTGGAATAATAGCTTAAATCAGTCCTAGCTGAAAACGTGCACCACTCGATAAGATTCGAACGAATGTATTGGAAAAGTTTAACTATCCGAGGATTTTCAACGACCTCGGACGAAATTACTTGCTTCTCCCCTCAGTTCAAAGTTATCTGGAAGCACTACAACTAAGGTCATGTTTTAGGAGTCTTTAATGATTACTTTTAATACGTATGAAAAGTTCTAAACCCTTGAACTATCGTAGAATTTTAGGTGGTTTCTAGGATGAATGATGTGTTCATTTGAACTTGATACAATTCCCTTTGTTTGGTACATTAGTGAATGATCTTTTTGGTGGAATACATCAATCCTAATGGTTTTTAGAAGAATTGAAGTGGCTAGCACAGAAGCGGGCTTTGCTGGTTTACAAAAAAACCGTTGAGGACCGCCAGTCAATGTTCTGTTTGCTATTTGAGCCACAAAACATAGCAATCGAACGTAGGTTACGATTTACAAAGGATTGATCATCAGTATCACAAGACACAAATAAGGTTATGTCACTCACATTCTGTCATGTTGTCCACTAAAACAATGCTTTTTCAAACAAACTATCAATAAGCACATTCTGCTTATCTGTTGAAAATGTGGTCAGTTATTTGACAATTGGTTAATCAATGTTTCCAGTAAGGTAGAGCCGCACGTTTGGTAAGGCAGGGAAAATAATCAAAACAATGACACGCAAATAAATGGCTGAAATCACGATCCTCAGAGCGCACGAATACTCCGAAACGAGATAGTTCCGTACTGGACGTTTCAGAGGTAGTGTGGTTTAAACTGATTACTCTCGAGCTGCGTCAGTCCCTCATTAAAACCTACTTTAATCAAAATAACAGAGAGGCGTCCTGTGTTATTTTGAACACATGCGATCATTTTGTTGACTGAACATTTGACTTATAAGTTCGCTTATAACGCCTCAAAATACCGCGACAAAATTCCCCTTCTTCAAGCTTATTAAGTAGGCAGTCAACCTTATGTTCCATTTGAGCACAAATGCACGCATTTCGTGAACCACAAACATTCTCAAACAAATATGTCTTAACGAAGTTATCAGCTGAATCCTAGCAGACCTCTTTTTCAACTGTGCCAGTCTGATGATCCCCATGATGGGTGAGAGTCGAAAAGTTTTCAGCAACCTCACGAGTCTTGTGTTCTGTCAAGAAATCATACTGCACTATCTTAAATATCCCACCAACTGAGAATTGAGACGACTTTTGTGTAGCACATTTAGTTACAAAATAACACGAGAAAAGAATCACTTGAGAGTTATTTAAGCCTCCCTCAAAACACGTTTTCTAGCAGATGAACTTATGGTCAGTATTTCTATCACAGTAGTGAAGACGCCCTCTTGTTTTTTTTCTTTCTGGCCTCCTGCGATAATTTTTAATGGCTTTTACTGACTGTTGCTATTGAAGACACACTACCTTGGGCTGACTACGGGAGTTGACTGACTAGATTCACCTTCCCACTATTATGTTTTACAAAATTATTCCCCACTGGGTTCCATAAATAACTGAGATCCACCAGATAACGATGCCTTAGACTGCTTCTACGTGCGTGAAACTTTTATGATTTCAGATGGCTTAAGGATATATAAATAGAAACCCAACTTCCCATACTAGAATAGGCAGTTTAGAGTGTAGGTACTTAAACAAGATTGTCATAATTTTTACTCTCTTGGATCAGCCAATGATCATGGTACACGGTGCACTCATACCAACGCGGAAAGGGCTTGGACTAGCGTCATGTTTTGGTGGGATAAGCTCCTGTTAATCGGATATATTGAAAAGTTGCAAGCGCTCGAAAGCCAAATTAAAGTGCATTACTCCCGCAAACCAGCGAATCATTCTTAACGCAAGATTCTACACCTGCAGAGTATGGACAACAACAACAACCACTTCTCCGAAATGGGTGGTATTCACCCCAAAAATATTGGGCCCACTTGTCCCCTGTATTTTAATCTTCGTTTTTGGTGATTTGTCCATTAATAAAGACCGCACTTGAAAACTTGGGATGCTATGAATACACTAGCTATGCTAACCCTAGTATTCTCATCATGCAACATCAGTCTGACAAAGTTTCACTATCCCTACTACAAATATCCCCAAACCGTTGGACTGCAGCCGATATGATAGAAGACTGACATGCTTACCGTTCATCCCATTTGGTATCGTTTTCATCCATCGGAAGACAAACAGCTATATTTGGAAGCTGTAAGGCCCAAAATTCCCAACATTTTTTATTTCGTACTTTATACTATTAAACTCTGCAAAACCACCACTCCTTGGAAGTGCAAAAGAGTCAGATGGCTATGTGATGACTAGTGTCTTCTGGTATGATGGATGTCTAAGCATGATGCCATGGATGAACAAACCATGAAGTGCGTCACAAAATCAGTTGGACAAACGTTTATCAATATATGTTCCGGTTCGAAGTTGTCGTGCATATGTCACTTGGATCGGAGATCACTCTGTTATCCATAATCGTCCGTTCACTGCGTTGGATCGAAGTCCTGTTCGGGGAAATGACAGAGAATTCGCTGGCTCTCGCATCCCGATCATTCTTGTTCAGAGTCCAAAACAACTTCTAGTGAATCTTGAGCGATGAGTTTTCTTAAACGGCTATGCGATATTTGGCATTCACTGCTACTCCATGTCGGAGAAGTTCCACTGTGTTTGCTGTTCGAACAACCAATGGTTCCTGGTCTACCTGACATAAATTCTGAAGCAGCGCTTTGACAGCTGTTGACGCAAACTTTATTCTGAGGCTTCGCCGCGCCGTTGTTTGCCATCCGTCACGTCCCATGGTGGGAAAGGAACAAGTTCCGGATCATCAGGATTATCGACGTCATAGACTCGGCTGTCCAAAAACAGGTTGGATGGTCACAAAAAAAATATTGCGAAGTTGCTGATCTTAGTTCTGCAAAATTTAGATAAAGGGTGTAGGTTTGAATTGAACAGTGTTCAACATACCACTTAACTAGTAACTATTCCCCCAATTTAGGCTGGCGGAAACATGTACCAGGTTTGTTGGTTGACCTTTCTCCAATTCAGTTCAGCTATTCTCGTCCCAGCCTTGATTGACGCAATTCACACCTTGGCAACGCTGCTAGTAATCACATTACAGATAACTCATGTTTCCCTGACAGGGTCCATACTGTCTTACTTGCGAATGAGTGGGAAGCATTATTGCCGTGCACTACTATCTAATGCTATCTACTCTTCAGTGACTTCCTTACTAATTAGGCCCTTTCACGATCAACAGAAAACTACTCTTTTCACAATTAACTTTTCACTTGCATCCTACACAACGGTAGAAACAATGCTACCTCAAAATTACGTTATGTAAGCATGTTTAAACTATTTGCTCTGTGAAATTTCTTTTTTGAAACAATCAGTTACATTGTTGTGATTTATTTTGCCTACACTAGTCGGAATATGTGGCACACGACTGTGTCCCCGGCTCAGAAGTGTTTTCGATTGGCTTGACGGATTTAGAGTGCTTTTCGTGTGTGTACGACAAAACAATTGTTACTACTGCTTCCAGATGTTTGGCGTGAAAGTGGCGCCCTTATTTCAGTAATTTCCTTTTGTCTGTGCAATTTCGAAAATTCTGTTTTACCGCACAGATTGCTTTGAACAAAATATATATGGATTCCAGGCACAAATCACTACCGATAGCATTTTTACGCTAACTTACTGCATTTTGCAAACATTCCTCCCCTGATCATTAACCCAAACCACGTTGTGTAATAGAGGCTACTGTTCCCCATTAGTAGTCTCATATTGACCTCGGTAGCTTTTTAGTGTCAATACTAAAGTTGGGAGTTGAAACCCCGATTTTTGACCTGCATTCCCGTTGCTTCCTGTTGCTTCTGGTGGCAAGAAAACGTCTAGCCTGTAACGGATAGGTGACTAGTCGTGGAAATTGTGGTCGAAAGACAATCAGTGTTTTGAGTAACATACACTGCCAACAACGAGATTGCTTATTTTAATTCATTTCATCCTATTCCACATACTGTAGGTAAATGTGTTTGCAAACCGGGTCGCCAAATCCTCCAACCACGGCTACAAGGACCCCAAAGAAGCCATGGTCGATAAACTGCGTCAAGCCTTGGGAGTGATGCAACATCACGATGCAGTGACCGGCACGGAAAAACAACATGTGGCAAACGACTATGCGCTAACTCTTTCGGTTGCCTCAAAGTCATGCCAGACAGTCATAGCAGATGCAATGTTTGATTTGATACCTAATCTTAGAAGCATGACCGGTGGTGAAAATCCAGTCTTCTGTGATCTTCTAAATATAAGCTTGTGTGAAGCAACCGAGGGATGGAAACCATACTTGAATGCCCGGGGAGAAGGTGGCGTGTACATTTTCGTCTACAACCCCACTGGATGGAATCTATGGAGCTCGTGGATTCGTGTACCAGTCTACATTGATCAATCGCAAGTCACAAGAACTGGCGTAATTCTAAAAGACCTGCGTGACATCAGCCAAAAACAACTTCCCTATCAATTGCTTCCCATTACTGACAGAACAATGCAAATTCCAGAGCGGAAGTCGTCACGTTATCTAGCAAATATGGAGATTCTTTTTAATATTGCTGCCGCTGGACCACCAGCATCACCTACAGGCTTCACGACGTTTTATTTGGCACTGAAACAGCCATCTCGTCCACAGTTGTCTGATTTCGCATTCTTTGAAGACTTTACCTCGTGTTCCGGTGTAGCCCGGTTGTCGCAAACGACTACACTCTCCTTGGTACGTGGTAGCGGAGAATTCCCTGTGGTGATCAGTGCAAATCATCCACAATCTGGGACAAACCTGAACATAACTGTTGCGCTTTTGTATTACTTTGGTGAAACAGGTGGAACACAAGCATCCGGTGCCTATGTGTTTCTTCCAAAGAATTCCAATCTCCTTGAAAAATTTCCTGATCCAGTAGTCAATGTGAGTTTGTATACTGTCAGTTTGTATTCATTTGAAGGTTCTCTGATGGACAGTTGTAGTTCTACTGTTATTGGATTGTTGGTTATTTGATCTGGCAATTAAGCAACAGTGATAAGGTATCTTTGAGTATTCAGTAAACGTAATCCCTTGTTGCATTTAAGACAATTAAGACCCACAGGTCCAAGAGTAAGTTAAGGTTACGTGGTAGTAATCAGGAAGAGAGAGTATATGTTGAATGATTCCAGAGGAAATCTGAATATGCGCATCAGATACTTTGAATGTGCCCATATATTACGAAGATAGTAACACTGAATATCAGTGAAATATACTCAGTTGCAAACAAATTTGGTTTTGCGGAGACTCACCTGGAAACCGGATAAATCACTCGTTCAGCTGGGATACAGGTGAATCTCACGCAAACCTAAATGGGCTTTCGCTAATTTCGTGCAAGTCGGGATCAAGTAAAACATAAGGTTCACGGAAACTCCGAGACTGCGCCTAGTTGATTGGCCCGGAGTGCGAAACCGGTCATGGGCTTTTGAAGAATTCGCAGCAACCTTATGAGTATTTAGTGTTTTATGGCTAAGCATTGAATATCCTTATTAGTAAATCTTTTAAGTCCTCGAGTACATCAGTCGTCACAGACGAAACAACGCAACAGAAACATGAAAACCGATTGTTCACTCTTTGAACAACAGGTAATTCTGTGAATTTCCACAGGCATTACACTAGTGAAATTGTGATGCTTGCGAGTAGTCCAGAATATTTTGTTGTTTCCACCGCACTAGTCAAAACCATGAGAACGATTTATAAATGTAAGGAAGAACAAGTCATTTGGTTCGCACCTCATTTCTAGGACCTCGTCGAAGTTTGATACGGACACTGCTGCGATATCTCGAATATCGTATCAGCTGAAACCAGGGGCGGCATTTGTCCAGCGCATTCAGCTGAGGAATATCACTAACGAGAGTTTCAGTGAGTCTCCCGTGAAAACCAAATTAATTTGCAAATGGGTGTGTCTGTCAGAATCAGTCCAGTTTTGGTTCAAGTGGAACACAAGGTTTACGGAACTTGAGGACACCGCTTATGATGAACCCCGAAAACGGCGAAACCGGTCATGGGTTTTTTGAAGAGTTTTAAGCAGCCTTGTTGGTAGTTTCTTCACTGGAAAAGATTCAGTTGCCAAAAATTCGTCTGTTCATTCGGAAAGAAGACAGCCATGAGGTGTGCGACGTCTGAGTGGACATATTGGCAACAAAACTTATTTAGGTTCTCTGCTCTGTCCACCATTTATTGCACAGCAGTGGGGTTCATGGAGGTTATGTGACATTTGAGCGCAGAGTTCAGTAATCTACTGAACTCTTCTTGATAGCAAGATAAAGCTACAAAACAAGATAAATTTTTTTCAGCTATCCTGGGTTGTTCGGAAGCAATCAAGGCTAGGACAGGATAGTGGGCAGATAATTTGGAATAAGAACCCACCGGTCACTTTAAATTTTACACAGGCAAACGTCACGAGACCCGGAGAGTGTTGGATAGAAGTATTAGAACGGTAGACTTATTGCGAGCCTTAACAAGCTATGGCAAGCCTAGCCACTGATTCCGGTTTTTTATACGAGATGGGTTTTGTATCGCCGGATCGCCGCTTCTTTGACAAAACACAGTAGGTGGTTGCTCTTCTGACACTTTATAAATTTCACACTGCAACGTGCTAGCTAATTTGGAACACGCTTGAAAACCCTTACAGCTCTCGCCTACTGCCTTGTACTAGCTGTTGCGAATTCTCTTCCAGCAAAGCAGCCTTTTCGTGCTTATAATGAAGCTGATTAGATAGCCGTCATCCTGGAGTATGAATGATATATTTTCCAAACTTCTCTCTAATGTACCACCTAAACAACTTTTTCTGGTTCCGGTAAACAGGCCCTGAAATAGGTTTTATTCATATTTATTGAAAAAAAGCTTTTAAAGCTGAAATATCTTTATTTTTCAGGATGTCTTATAGAATGTCCATATAATAAGTGAGCCATCTTCCAGCCTAGAAAAACAAGACTGTTTACCTTCTCTTGCAAATACCTTCTTCGATGAACTTGCTGCGGCGAGTACGACAAAGGAAGCGAGAGCCCTGTGTCCTCAAGGATTTCCGAACGTGCCTCGAATTAGCTAGCACTTTACAGTTCGTGCTACACAACTGCATGCCATTGACTTGATCGCAAAAGAGACAGTTATTCGAAGTCATCAATTGCCAGGACAACAACTGCTCACTGTGTTTCGTTGGAGCGGCGGTGATTCGACGATACAAAACCCATCTTGTATAAACAACCGGAAGTTGTGTCTGGTCTTGCCATTCCTTGGTAGGGCCGACAATGAGTCATATCAACCGTTCTACTAATTTCATTCAACCTGGACCGCGGTATTATTTTCAATGACCGGTGTGGTCGTCTGCGTTGGGTTTCCGGTAGCGTCAGCTGTTAAGCAATTCAAACGGTCGTTTGTCCACGGACGAGTAGTGAGAATATTTGGTCCGAACCTGGCAGAGGACCAACAACGAATCATGGGTTTAGAATTCTACCGGGCATTTAGGTGAGGTCTGACGCCAGACACTCCGTGACAGGACCACTTGGGGTCGGACACCCCAATCAGCTTGAGAGGCACTGCTGCTAATAGCTTATGTACTCACTTGCTCGATGAAGGGTCTTTTATAGAGCATCATACATTTTCCTCCATTGGGCAAAAGCGTGATGGATTCCAAAGTAATGGAAATGACCGGCCTCTCATAAAGCACATTTTTAAGCGTAACAAGTTTTTCCCAAAGAAACGTTTGTGATCTTTTCTTCAGCCTAGCCCTTTGTGCATGCAAATTTGATCATTTTCTGCTTGTAGGAGGTACAGGAAGGTAGCCCGGTTTCCTCTTTGACAGGTTACCTTGAGCGTTTATTGTACTTTGTTATATGTTTCAATGCTCCAACTCCATTTACTTACGAATTATAGACGCAATACCTATACGGTCCTCTTTGACCTTCAAGTTATAGATTCGCCTCCTCTTAATCTTCCGTACAATTACTTAGTTTGTCCACAGCAGAGAATGATACGGAGACAAATAAATTACACACTTATTCAGAAAATAATAGGATTTATGGTAAACCAGTGAACTACGTCTAAGTGATCAAATGAAAAGCGCTAATAACTACCATACACATCACTCAAAGCGCTTTAACGACTACGTTTAGGTTCCCTATTCAAGAAAGGATAGTTCATTATTCTTTGAAACATCATGCTGACATTTTGTTGACTACAATTGTCTCAATATCTGATATTCTTCAAGATCTCCTTACAACGGGACAGCTTTTCCCATCAGTCATCAGGATATTGCTTCTTCTTACCTGCTTTTGAAACCTGATTGATGAAAGATTAATTCGAGTGTCAATTTGACCATTTCAGTTTGCAAATGGACGGTGCTGTAAAAAATATGCAGTGTTCTAGCATATATGAATCCACGATTATGTTTCCAGGTGGGACTGGATAACATCTTTGTCCGAAGAACTGACCCAATTAGTTTAGCAACGTTTTTAATCTGGAAGTTGTGGTCTGAGATGCAAATGGACTCATTCAAGTTTAAAAACTGGGTCTGGATTGGTACGTCACTGTTTAAAAAGTGGTCCATATTGCAAAACGTAGCAAGGGCATTTCTAATTCAGTCAGGCTAGGAAATTTTGTTGCACCTGCACTTTTGAAGATGGTGTGAGAAAGAAAGTTTGGGGCGAAAGTGTCTTACCAAGGTACCGGTGATCAGTCAAGATGAGGACAACGTAAAACCTAGTTTTCAGTGTCTCAGAATTGCGTGTGAAATGGACAAAATTCTATCATTTCACGGGTCATGGAGAAGTTCAGTGTACCGATATTGAGGCTGAATCACAAGCTCCATAACCGATCGGAAATAAGCCTCCGCCCGCACCTCAGTAATCCGATTCCTCATCGAAATTAGACGTTTGTGGCTATTCCGGACTATTATTTACTTAGAGAGCAGTATCCACTGTATGTGGGGTTGCTATAATTTATGGAAGTACTACAAACCAGCTTGTATCTTTTCACGTACCATTCCGTATTATTCTGCAGCAATTTTCCTTTGATATTCTGATGTTCTGCACGAGGATTCACGTGAAAATACTATTGAGAATACTATCACAATATCTAGGGCATCATCGACCTTCTGGTGTCTCCTTGTCAGTATTGCATCAGTTAGTGTTTGTTCTTACCTCAAAGCTTCTGTTCATACGTAGAGCTAAGGTCGACAGAACGACAGCAATTTAACGCGAGACTCATATGGCTTGCGGGATATACATGTAAAAGCGTGCACAATTTTTCTATACAGGATGCAGTTTCGTGGTGAATGTTTACCTAGCGAATTTTCCCCTACGTATATGTATACAGAAAAACGCAATGGAAAATGTTATGCTTTCTTCATCGTAATTTACCTGCTTTACAAACGATGGTATTGAATAAAATCATGAATGTCATTTCATTGTCCATAGGTGGCAATACGAAAATTGATGTCAGCCAGCCGCGAAAAACAAACACAAGACTGTCATTTTACTGAGAACTGATTTTCCCGGATTACGGGCAGTTTATAATCTGACGGACTGAAATGCATTTTTTCGAGATTTATCAGATATATGTATAGTCCACTACCAATTTCACCCTGGTAGATAGACTCAGACAGACTCCAACCACTTCAAGCACATTTAATAGGACAGAACTCAAAGGTGTCTCTTTAAAATTTCCCTGTGGGCCTAAATACGTGCTGAGTTGGCCTGCGCGACGCACGCTCGAGAATAACAGGTTCATCTAAAAGTAATTTTCATCAATCGCACACGCTGCATGTAGCTAGTGCAGCTCAGCTACATAGTTTAAAGCCCTATTAAGGCATTTACTCTGTTACTCATTAGTGCGGTTAGTCCAGAAAAGCATTTCTCTGCATTTCGCACTATACCAGCCAAAGATTGACAAAACATTCCACCAAACAGTTCGTTAAAGATATTTTTCATCACCATCAAGAAAAGTCTATTAGATTTCGGGTGGGAATGGGTTTGTCTCACAAATATTCTTGTCCGAAAACCGTAGAGAGAGGTAGATGGGAAACCGGAGTGTCTTATTAATGACGGGACTGTTCGGAAGATAATACGACCTATTCAATTTTACCTCTTTCTTAACCGATATGGGAAGAAAGATGAAAGATTACTGTCCCGTCGAATTATACCTGCTTATGAAAAGCAATTTCTATAGTTGTGTTGTCTAGTGGATCCAGAACTGATCATTTCAAAGCTAACCTATTTAATTTTTGCACCGTGAGACTCATCCAGACTCCAACAAACCACTTCTAGCGCAGGTGTCTTGTTGATTTTTCTGGTTTCACCCATTAGACGAGATCTCTTTCCACTGCGTTATATGTTGGGTCTCGGAGGTGTTGGAACGTGTCATTTTTCTGTGTTTAAGGAGCAGATACGATGAAACCGTGACAAACGCGTTAGTCCCAAGACATTAGCATATTTACCTCACATTTTTCTCCCTCTTAAGTGCAGCTACGGTTTCGAGTTGTCTACGAGTGCATGCAGATGTGTAGAAAACTTTTTTCATGAATAGCATTGCTTTCCTATCACGTAATACTTCAGCCTCTAGAGCATGTTTCCTTGTTTGTATTGCTATATGTGTCGGTTCTTACAAACTTTACTTTTCCGTCCAAAGTTCGTTAGAGGCGCATGTGTGGAAGAGGCACACTTAACCTATAGCACATGGGCGTCACTGGTTGTTCGCCTGTACAGTGATGGAGACTTGGAAGTCGAATGGACGGCAGGACCCATACCAGACGGCTGGAGTCAATTCAGTCGCGAGCTTATTGTACGATACACAGTGCATGGTGAAGGATTGCATCCGAAAACAAGCGGTAAGTCAGCTAGATTCCGGTTCCGAAAATCTCCTCCTCGTCATTAAACTTTACTGGATTTTTCAGAAACCTAAAGCGTTGAGCAGATAATTTTCTGTCATCAGCTGCTAAGCAGTCAGTCCGCTTTCGTAAAATTTAACTAAGATCACTCAGTATAGGTCACTAATTTCGATTACGTCCAAGTTACCTCACACTCTACAGTTTTACTGATTGGCTGAAATCTCGATAACTTTAAGCGAACGACTTATAAGGCGCGCTAGTGAACCATAGATGATCAAAAAAGTTCGAATAAGTAGCTCTCGTACAGGTTTTGTGAAGTATGGTTCACTCTATTAACTGGCTTGCTCAGTTCCCCACTGCGTGTATTTTGGTTACCCCGGAAATTTTTTGTGCTGTTTACGATCTCACCTTTAAGATTTGCTTCCGGAGAACCTTCGAAATGACATAGTACTCAGTTAACAAGGACTTAATACTTTACCCCCTTTTTTAATTTCTGGGTTGTTCAAAGTTTTAAAAAGCGTTTCTACAGATTGTAGGGAGCTATAATTATAGAAAGACAGTACAACAATGATGTGCGATGCATGGATGCATACCTCACCTGGTATTTTTATATTTCAAAACTTGGAGATGACCCTTCATAGAGTAGGCATCTTTCCTATTAGTGGCATATTGTCTTCTTAAGTCGGCTTTGCATCATCGCGCAATCAGTCAAGATCGTTTTTGGTTAAGGGTGAAAGGCCACGATGGATAAGTCGGGGTCCCGTAGTCCGGCTCCGGTCTCAAAATCCTTCTTACTTTACCAATCCAGTAGTGCTGAAGAAGGTAATGACAGGAACCTTACCATGGTTTGACGATTTTTGCGTCTCTACGTCCCCTTGAGCTACACCGGAATGTCCGCACACGCGGTGGCAGTGATAATGAGTAACTAGCGAGAACTGGAATCGAAGATATAGGTTTATGGACTCCTCCGAAGAAGGTTTCGCACTAATCGCGTGTCTGAAAACATCTACTTTGAAAAAAAATCAAAACCAGACAAATATCCGTGATTTTGGTTTGTTTTCGGCAAAAACCTTTGATCCAGATAAATTTCCAAAGCTCATGTTGCAAGTCCGGAAACGACTTCCATAAAGGACAGCGTGCGTTATATTACACAAACACTGTATTGGGCGGTGCTTAATTTACCCTGTACTTCATTGTTTTCTTGGACAAGATGTGTGTGTGAACTCAGGCCAACTTGAATAACTATTTTCGATCTCTAAAAGACCCCAAGATAGACATGTTTGGGGAGTTAATCTGTGTTAGACGGTGAGTTTTTATATGGCTGTCTGTTTATTCGGTAGACTTAGAAAAGCCCAAAATACACACGTTTCTTGGACTTCGGAAATTGTAAGAGGCCCTTTTTAAGGATTCCTACAAAATCTCTATTTAGAGGCAAGCTTGCAAAATAGGTAGTGATGTGGATTAACGACCGAAATTGTGTAGCAACATTTGTTTTTTGGATTTGTTTGATATCAGGTAGTATTGCTGTTCACACATGTATGACTCACTAAGGAGTGCATTTTACAGGGGAACTACTGCTTTTTACCAAACTGGTCAAGGGTGTGAAAGGGAAAACCAAGTTCGACGTTGCAAAGCTATTTAAAAACGGTTTCTTTTCAAGGTCATTGTTACTTGTGCAGTAAACAGAGCTAGTCACGTGTTCTTTGTGTATCCTGGATCGTTCTCCTAAGCAAATGGCGAAATTCTAGATGTTTTGGCTATCCACCAAAAAGCTTACCATACTTGCTTGCTAGAGCCCTCATTACATCTTTCTCAACTTAGCTGCTAATGTAGTCACAGGCCGTGTCAGTCAATCATTGGTAGTCTTTGTGGAAAAATCTGCTCTTTCGGGGTGAAGTAAGATTACTGTCAAATGGCACTTCTGGTATCCGTTTTCCGAACCAATTCAGCCCGGCTTCCGGATTCTGGCGAAGTGCTGAGATTCTGGTAGCTGCGGCGAGTAAGCTGGATGCGGAAACAGTGTCTTTCAACCGTGAGCGTTTTTCGAACTGTCAACCGAATTGGCCCGTAGCTACACGGTTAAATAGTGGCTAAAATGTTTCCCACACACTGACGATTCCGGTCCACTCCGAAAATACAGTCACTAGTTCCCTAATCTTGTTAATTTCAAGGGGCGCTTGTTGTCCGACGAAAAAGTGATTGATGGTTCATATTTGGGAACATCATTGTTGCTTGTTTCCATGACACCGACTCATCGAAAGTGAAACAATGCCCAACAGTTTAGGCTTACCTCGTTATTGGTGAGTTCATCATACATCAGAAAGAACCGCCTAAGATATGCTGTGACCCCATTTGTCGGGTTAGAAAAGTACGCTATAGCGATGTAACTACATACTGACTCTATACGCTACAATCGACCAGAAAAAGGCCGCTAGTTTTATCAGCTCCCAAATGATTTTTCCGCATCGGCGATATCAGCTTAGGAATTTCAGAGGCCGAACCAAAAGTTCTACTGCTGTTTGGCAACTTGAATTAAATTTTCAGATCAACTGTTTGGATGTATCACAAGAAGCTGGCTTGGGACTGTTCCAGCAGGCATATTCGTGACAATCTCTGAAATTCGAGTGGAAGATAAAAGTTGACAGCGGCAGTACTGCTGGACATTTATGAATCACGTCTTGGAGGTCACCCAATCAGTACAGAAAACGACGAAAAGTTAAAAACATTGAGTACCACCAACCCAAACATCAGGGTAACAGAAAAACACGAAGTGAGTGCGAAGTAAATGGTAACTTTCTTGGTATCTTGCCCACCAGCGGACAATATTCTGTAGATAAATCCACCGAAAACATACGGTCAATACCCCTAGTTTCCTGCTTTTATGCCAATACACTACACAAGACATTCAGTTGAGAAGCTATACGATAGAGCAAGAGTGTTTTCGGGAGGCATAATCGGTTCCGAACGAAATACCGGGGGTTTATTTGTATATGTATGTATACCGACCGGAATTCGTGTTAGATGAAGAATGGACGGGTCTTTTCAATATAAAAATGGGTTTTTTGAATTTACGATTCTGCGTTCAACCTCAGATTTTAAACCAACCAAATACGCTGCCAAACCCACAGTCGTCTGAAAATGCAAGTAAGTTTCGAGACCTGCGCTCAAAGTTCTGTTACCCAGTCGGTCATCTTCAATCTTATCTACTATTTTATGTTAACTTGCCTGGTCACCGACTTTGGAAGGATTGAGGGACTACTTCGACTTAGGCAGATGGAAGCACCTCATCAAGCTTAAGAACAAATTCGAAGCTGGAGGCAAGTACACAGTCGATACTTTCTTCATTAGTAGGCCATGTCCACCTGGAAACTGTTTTCACATCGTGTACAAGATGAAGATACCACAGTTGGTCGAATAAATTGTTGCTAGAGCATGGAAACCAGAGAAGTCGGCTTTCGGCATCTAGATTGCTGCATTTATCTAAATGGAATTACCATAATACACCCAATACATCGGCGACATCTCATTTCCGATTTCCAATGAAGCTTGTAACGGGAAACTGGGATGTCAGCTTCATCACCTACGGTTATAAATCTGTCGAGGAAGCAATCATTTCACAAAGCAATATTCAGAAAAAAACTATTTGCGTTACAAAAATTTCACTCGTAAGCCAGAACTTCCAGGGGGAGCTGTTACGTAAGCAAAGCAGTCTCTTTCGGTACGGGAAAAAACGAAACTCAACGGCACAGATTTTCACTAATTTCCGGGTATGTTTCACTGTCTCATCAGGGGCGTACTACAGATTAAAGAAATAAATGAATTTTAAAGTGATAAATTGCCACGTGAAGGGCTTGCGCTGCAGTTTTCCACGGTCGTGCCAACAAATCCGGCGTTCATTCGTAAACAATAATGTCCTCAGTAAACTTCAGAATCCTGGTGTTTGCTATGCCGAACACGATACCAAACGCGATGGTTGGATCGACACACTGCTCGCCTTAATCGATGGTGGGCAACTGAAGAGGCGGGCGGTGTAGTCTGCAATCCTGTTTGGCTTTGATGTTTTGTCGGTACATCCGATTGGCTCAGTTTCTTCGTACCCTTGCAGGCACTTGCTCCCCCACCGTCAGTCGTAGTCGCCGTTCGGCTCTGTCTAACCAGGTGGCCGTACGCTAACAAACAGCAGGGTTCTGGAATTCGTTGAGGCCATTGCTGTTTGTGGAAGGAAAATCCTATCTTTGTAAGCAAAAACGGCCTTCGTTTCTTCGGCACTACCGTGGTAAACTGCAGATTGTTGTAATCTGCAGTAAATCTCTGATAAAAGTAGCGAAATAAATCCGGAATTCCGTGCAAAATGGCGTGGATTCTTGTCAAAAGGGAACTACGTTCCGCCCTACTGGGTAGTTTTCACCGTTGTTATTTAAATATTCTTTGAAGGGGATAGGAGAGGAAAATTGAAAACTACTGTGTTATGTACGCCATCTTCATCGTCATCATTATTAGTATCGGAAAAATCAACGTCAGTGCTGAAACTGGTTCTTCAAATTCCAAATACAGCCATACGTATCCACGATCATTATCAGAAAATACGGAAAACACACCATTGTGCTGCATATTCAGTTGAAGAAGAACATCACAAAAAGCTATCCGGATGCATTCAATTCAAAAACTATTTAGTGTACAAATGTGGGTATTTATAGAATTTCGTCCCATCCGGATTCAAGTAAAACATGGATTTGACGAATAATCGGGAAATGCATATACACGATGATCTCAGAAAGGGATAAATCGGTTATAGGCTGTCGAACATTTTTAACGACTATACACTCATCTGTAAACTAATCTGGTTTTCCGATAGACTCATCAGGAGCCCAGCTGAATCTCTCGTTTATGATGTTTTCAGGCAACTGAATGTGCTGCACCAGGCCGCCTCATGTTTCAGTAGCTACAATATTCAAGATATCGCGATACATGTATATCTTTGTAATATACTACTCATAAGG